TTTAGGGCCTGAATGTAGCTCCATACATTGTCCCATGATGAACAGCACGAGTCTGTCCTGTCGCGTGTTGTCCCTCCCTCCGTGACTCCGCCCACCTCAGCCCGGTCGGACGGTAACAGAGCCCGGCCCCGGTGGTTCAGCCTCCGGTCGGTGATCGTCAGCCATGTTGTTGGTGTGACACACCAAGCTGTCAGCAACAGGTTCTTTTGGACCCGAACGCCTCTCCGTGGGCTCTGAACTCGACGATGTTCGTGTGAAACCGTCCAGAAGTCGTCGGATGATCGTTTCTTCTCCGGAATATATTATTTTTGGATCGTTTGAGGTACGCAAACAAAACTGCTTATCTAAGCACGAGAGTATAGTTTAAATGTTGACACCGTGAAGCCTCTGGAGTTTAACTTTTACTCTTTAATCGTGTTTTTTTTTTTTTACACGTTTGTTTCTCCTTTTAATTTCGGAGCATCAGGGGAAAAGTCTCGTCTAAAGAAAAGAAAAAAAACAAGCTGGGATGGTGGTTCGGTTAGCTAGCTTAGACAACTTATTAGACAACTTGTGCTTTCTATGGTTTTGAAGAGGTGTGTGTTTAAAAAAATGTTCTTCTGGAAGGTCAGACTTAGGCTAAAAAAGTTTGCTGATTTGCCCGAAAGTGTCGTGAATTCCTCTCGGTTGAAACTAGTCGAGCAGGTTGCAGGCAGGTCTGGTGACAAGTGATCAGGGAATGTAACTCTATCAGTTCATCTGCAGAAACATGGAGCACTGTCTGCAGGAAAAAATAACACTCCACAAGCTGACAGTCAGTGCATAATTAGGGCAGATTTAGTTTTATTTTTAGGCATTTTTTGAGTCTTTTAATTGTTCAATGAGACAATACAAGCCATGGAATATGTGAGCATCAGTTATGTGTTTTAAATAAACTTAGCAAAAAAAAAAGTAAGTAAATTTTTGTTTGGTAGATTATTTCTTCTTGGCAAAACATCTTATACAGATGGAAAACCTAAATGATGCCACATTTGTAAGGAACAAGCATTAAAATCAATGGGAAGAAGATAACAAAGCAAGATGGTTTTATAGGATTCAGAGACAAGTGGGAGAAATGAGAACAGAAGAAAGATTAATGAGCAGACTTAGATTTGGACAAACTGCACTGAACAACACGTTATACAAAATCCAAAAACGTAATGTTATGCGTATAACTACTGTTCCCTGAAGGAAAGGAACGAGGTACATCATGTATGGGAAACCACGCCCCTGCGTGTCCTGGCTGAAGCCACCTCTAATCACGCCTTTAGGCAGGTGACGTGATGACGACAGATGTCAGGCTCCGCCTACACTATATATTGTCCGTCATCACAGTCACTCCTTGGTTCTTAGTTTGACTCCCACCACCTACTGGAACACAAGTTAGGAGTGATCAGGAC